ACAAAACCAGGAACCTTGACCACCAAGATATATATGAGCCGCGTCACAACAAAACCAACATAATGGGTTTGCAACCAGCATGGATCCAGACCAGCCTGCGCAGTCTGGTCAGGATACATGTTGTTCGCTATCAGTTTCTCTACTTGTAATAGGGCTGGTAAGCGAACAGCATGGATCCTGATCAGACTACGCGGATGCGCAGGCTGGTCTGGATCCATGCTGGTCGCAAACCCATTATGTTGGTTTTGTCGTGATGCGGCTCATATATACAATCTATACAAGAATGACAGCAAAACACACTTACAGGTCATTTCTAATATCTAAGTAACAAATAAACTATACCTACCTTACAGTGTTTGTGAAATATGTCCATAGATTCACTACTGTTGGGGCAAGGTGCTATAGGCTGAAAAAAGATGCATTAAATATATATGTAACAGTAAGTGCCAAACATGGCTTGTGGGTTGGGTTTATTTTACATTCATTTTTTGTCATCTAAATTTACATATATATCTCCCAAAAATTGAATATTTTACAGTAACACTTGACAATGATTTTATCATCATGTTTACAATTGTCACACTTCAATTAATACTTCTAGAAAATGCAGGCATGATTCTTAATGATAAACATTGACATGATTTAGAAAATTAAGTGGATAATGGGGTCAACACATCTAAGTCCCTAATTGAGAGTAATTGTATTCTTAACTTCTTAACTGTTCTTTTGTACAGACAAGTGAGATAGTCACAGTCATAATATCACAATAATGTCATTTTACAATTACCTCTATCCTACTTTATTCTTTAATCAAACTAGGACAGTATTTTTGGAAACATAAAAGATAAATAGATTCAGTATTATCTCAAACTTTTCTAGCAATATATTGTCACCTATGTGCAGTAACTCCTCATATAATTTAATACTTAATACCTTATTGCACTTATATAAGGAGTTAACCCATTACTGCACTAAGGTGACAATAATATGTGAATTTGTTGCCTTAGAAAGACATATAGTAAGAGCTAAAATAATGTATATCCCTGTACAAGTAAAGACATGTAGATGATAAATGAGGTACAATGTTGGCTGATGTATTTATCTTATAGACAAGAGTGATACTGACAACAAGACCTTTTCCTTTCAAATCATCAGTGATTATGACTTCCAATGCAACCATATAGAAATCTGGCATACCTACATGTTTCTAACCTATATGATCCTGAACATGTAAGTATCTTTAACTTGAAATCCCTTAGACTTACAATGGAACATTCTGAATTTAAAGATGGACAAGTCCATTATATAAAATCAGGGGGTGGGGAGTAAAGGTAAACATATCTAACATACCTGATATTGATGATCCAATGACTGATATACAAGAGACATGGCTTGATTAGACAATGGGTTAGACAGGATATGACTCACTCCAGATCCTGCATATGTCGTACCTTTATACAAATAAATGATCTTTATTATACAAACATAAAATCTTGATATCTAAATTAAGTTAATACAGAATATTAAAATGGCAATACTATGGGAAAAATGGGCAGCATACTTGACTATTTTCAGTGATAGAGAAATGTTTGAAGTTTCCAGAGAATACCTTAGTTGTTAATAAGGAACTAAGTCACAGAAAAAAAAAAACATCGGCCTATTTCAAATAGCATGATGAGAAGAGCTGTTATAATGGTTAAAGGATTCAGTATAGCACATACCAGTAGCAGGACCAAGGTTAACATTAACACTGAGTGGTGGCATCACAGGGGCCTCAGATGTCCAAGAGGCTGACCGTACAGTTGGTTTATTGCCAGTGTCACTACCAGCTGGGGGATTGTAGGACACTGACCTGTATGGTGGTGTGTTTTCTCTAGAGGCACTTAAACTTCCTGAATAATGAAGTAAGACATTGAATAATTGTTCAATACTTCCGTTTAAAAAAAAAATTGAACACAGCAGATTTAAAAAAAACAAAAAAAAAACAAAGAAAAACACACACAAAATACAAGATACAAATTTTTTTTTTTACCTCTTATATTTATGATTTATAAAGTACCAATTCACACATGGCAACATGTTAAATAATCAATTATGTTTCCCAAAAAATAAGGGTACTATGCGAGGGGTGAAAGCGAAAAGGTTCTAAGTGCATTTTCCAAAATTTTACAGAAGCAAAAAACTGTCTCAAATGTTTGATAAATAGCAAAATTCCACAACACTTTGATTTTACACATAAAAAAGTTAAAGAAACATGTCAATGGTAATAAAAATTCTAGGAAAGACTTGGCAAACAAGATATCTAATCAAATGTCACTTAGAACTGTTTTGCACTTAAAATTTCTCATATTTTGATTTTTATGTTTAAAGCGAAAAGGTTCCAAGTGACATTTTGATAGAACAAAAGCATGTTTTTTTTCTTATTTAATTTAAGATAGAGCAACATTTTGGCATTTCTAATTATTCAGTAAGAGATGGAGTATAAATTGCCAGATAGGACTGTTTCGCATTTACTTTTTATTTTGATTTCATATTTTAGGTATTTCTCTTACTCCACTTTCAAGTTCATGAAATTTTAAGTTTGACTGTGTTTAAATTAGAAACATAAATAAAGGTCATAATTGATAGTGTACAAAACTTTTAAAGAACATGATGGGCATTAATTACACTTGAAAAACAAAAAACAAATGCCAATTTAATTTGATAATCATTTTCAGGTGAACTATACAAAGTATATGGAGAGCTGTCCTCCTTGCCCCGGCATCCGCGTCCAGATTTCAGATTAAAGTTTTGGTGCAGTAAAATACTTAAGGTATCAGCTTCAAACTTCAAATATATGTTCTTTGGCCTTCGTGGTCAATTCCTATACATCAAAACTACAAACCGGTGTTAAATAGCTAATAAACACCGCTAAGATTGATATCATTTCTTGATCATTACATGTTGTGTGACATGGTACATAACTCTAGCATTACTACTTCGAGAATTATTCCCCCTTGAACTTTGAATTTATGTTTACAAATGTTATTTTTTACTATGACTTCTTGTCATATGGATAAGAGTCCCTGTATTCCCAGAATTATCCCCATTAAATTTTTGAAATTCATTCGTAAATTGATTTTTTTAGTATTATCTGCTCTAGACTTAAGATAAATAATGGTTCTTTGTCATTAGTCACATCATGCATGAAAATGTTCATAACTCTAGCTTCTTTTTTCAAGAGTTGTTTCCACTTTGAACTTATAATTTACTTAAAATTCTCTTTGCTTATGTCATTTTTGTTTTTGAAGGGATTGACTTCAGATTTCAAATTGCTGTCTTTCCATTAAAGTAACATTAATTTAATTGACAATATCATTATGTTGTGCAAAATATAGAACATTTGACTGCTTTCTTGATATTGATACAAAAATACATTTATATCATAATTGATTTTTTTTTCCATAGTTTTGTCACCCTTACTGCATCAAGTATTTGATTAGTCCAGCTTCGCTGTCTCTTGAGACAGCTCTTGTTGTCTTGCATTTCCTGTCATATTCTTTAATATTCAAAATAAAACAGTTACATTCATATTCTTTCATATTTAAAATGGTTACCTTCAATAAGATATTTATTCATGGAAATTAATGTCATTTCATCCACAACTATTTTCTAACAATAGTTTATGCATTTATTTTTAAACAACTTAAATATTATAAGCGGCTTAATGTGGTCATCCTTAGCCCATAGTTCCATTCTAAAATGCGCCAAAATGACACTTTAATGCTGTTCATAAATAAAATGCGCTCAAATGACGCAACTTATCTGGCATCCCCATGCTGTAGGGTTATTTAGGATGCAAGTCTGAATTTCCTGTCATATTCTTTAATATTCAAAATAAAACAGTTACATTCATATTCTTTCATATTTAAAATGGTTACCTTCAATAAGATATTTATTCATGGAAATTAATGTCATTTCATCCACAACTATTTTCTAACAATAGTTTATGCATTTATTTTTAAACAACTTAAATATTATAAGCGGCTTAATGTGGTCATCCTTAGCCCATAGTTCCATTCTAAAATGCGCCAAAATGACACTTTAATGCTGTTCATAAATAAAATGCGCTCAAATGACGCAACTTATCTGGCATCCCCATGCTGTAGGGTTATTTAGGATGCAAGTCTGAATCTAATTTAGATAGGGAAAATCCGATTCAGCCAGTGAATATGATTTTATAATTTGTTCCGTTTACCACTGTTGGAACCAATGAGATTACAGCTATTTTTAAATCATATAATAGTGAACAATATTCTCTGAAAAACTTTTTGGACTTGTCTGAAACTCTATTCAGAGTGCAAGAATATCTTTGCAATAAACAGTTTCACAAACAATCCCAGAATATTTGAACTGAAAATATATTTTACAAATGGTGCATTACATATAACTTGCACATTTTTTTTATTATATGGGTAACACACTTGAGACACCCCCATGTAGCAACAATACATAGAAGATGTTCATGCTTAATTTGCATAAGTGTGACCCATAACTTATAATACTTTCTTTTACATTGTTTATACATCAAAGTCACACATAGCTCCACTTTCATTCACGTTACTTAATATTTCAGTGTATATCATATATCCGGTAAAATGCGTTTCGTCTGAGGTTTAAACATGACATAGCACCAGCTATATTTACATAACTCAGTTTCTTGGACTCACACATAGCTCCAAGTTCATTTGCAATGCCCAATATATCAAAGTCACAATATCTTGTAATTTTGCCTATAACCTTTCCCAGATTTCTGATAATCATAAAAAAAATTGCTTTTAACCATTCTCAATATCTCACTATCACCTGTAGTCTCACTTTCAAGAACATCACCGGATATCGTATTGTCATCTAAAGTTGTGGTCTCATTTACTCCTGGCAGAGCCCAGGACCACCCAGGTAAGTTACTGGGATGATCCAGGGTGAAATTTTTGTTGCGGTCACACTTATCCCGCCAGCACTAGGGTAATTCCCAACTAACACCCATGATGCCCCCGGACCATCCAGGCAGAGCCCAGGAGAGGCTCTGGTTCATGCCGGTGCTACCTGGTCATTCCTGGATGATGCCAGCAGAGCCCCAGTTGACCAAGGCAGAGCCCCAGTCGATCCAGGCAGAACCCAGGACGATTTTGGCAGAGCCACCGTTATAAGAACCCAGTGGATTGAAAACATGCAAAAATGATGATGTTGATACATAATTTTCATTAATATAATTCTAAATGATATTTTCTCCTTTTTAATAAGTAAATCATGATGATTTTCTTAATAATCCTTATGCAAGACTGGACAGAAGGGAAATGGGGAAGGGTTTTATTACAAACAAGTGCAATCATTGCAAATTGCCGTAATTCTTTTGAAATGACCAGGGCTTTGCCGGGGCTCTACAGGGATCAACAGTTGCTTTATCGTCATCCTACAGGGCTCTGCCGGCTTTCACAGGGGCTCTGCCTGCATTCACCGGGGCTCTGCTGGCATTCATCGGGGCTCTGCTGGCATTAACCGGGGCTCTACTGTTGCTCTACCTGCTATATCATACCCAAGATCATCCCTAGTTTTTGTCAGCAGAGCTACAGTGCTTCCCTGGCGTAACCTGGGCGTTCCCGGCAGGGCTAAGGATGAAGCAGGTAAAGCTGTATCTTCCCGGATCACCCCGGTGATATTAAATATTTTATTCCATCCGGGGTCCATTGCCGAATGTTCCGGATCATCCTGGACGTGCAGGCAGAGTAATGAATGTATCCCGGTTGTTGCTGGATCATCCCCGGAAGTCTACCAGGGTCTGCCAGGGTGTGAGACCACAGCTTAAAGCTAAAATTTTCTTCAATTATGTCCCTGGATTAATTACTACAGATTTCTTACCGTCATCTATAGCCCTACCTTTAATATCATCACACAATTTCTCACAGGCACTTAAAACCCTTTAAGATGGTGCATGATCATTACTGGCCATGTACACTTAGAACTGTTTCCCTTTTAAAAAGTCGATAATTTCATGAGTGGAGTTAACTGCGAAACAGTTCTAAGTACTTAAGTTTTCTTCCAAAATCAAGACATCTACTCTGAAACTAATGAATTTCTTATGTGATATTATTAAATAATATATAATAAAAGGTTTAGCTTTCAAAATTGCTTTGATTTCACTTATTTTAATGCAGTTTGAGTTGTTTTTATTTAATCTTGAACATTTTATACTCAATGAAAGCGAAAAGGTTCTAACTGCCATTTGCAGTTCAGAACCTTTTCGCTTTTTAAAAAAAAGGTTAATTTCACTTAGAACCTTTGGACAATTTTTCATTTCACCCTTTTATAAGTAAACTAAATCTTACATATTTTGACATAAGATGTATATGGGTGTTTATGTTACAAATATATAAAAAAGTGAATTTTGTAAAAAAAGTGAGTTAGAACCTTTTCGCTTTCACCCCTCGTATGGTAAATTTAGGTATGTTCATTTCCTTGCATCTTAAACTGAGAAGTTTAAATTTTTAATCTTTAAACTCAAAACTGTTAAAGGCACCTTGTGATTTCCTGACTCAACTGATCCAAGAACTTAATTATATTCATAACAATATTACTGAGTAAAAAGACCATGTTTATTTAAAACCTGACCTATCATAAGGTACCTGTATACCTCTTCACACATTACAGAGGTCAATCCTGGATTAGTGATCAGAAGTCACTAATCATCATAAAAGCATAAGAGGGCTTCAAATTTCATAATTTTATTCTGTTAAATTAATTTTATATAGAAGTGATTAAGTGTTATATGTTGTGAAAGGTGTTTTTTTGCATGAGCATAATTTATGTCTGTCTACTGGCATGCGAGCAGTTCCCGTACAGAAGCAGTACCCGTATTTTTCATTTAAACTCTTGATTTTTACATGCATTCTTCAAAAATTCATTTCAAATCAAGCAGATACATAAACGAGACAAAATTTAAGTGTCAGTTCGGCAGTACGTATAAAAAGTCTCATTTTAAATCACTTTCACCTGTGCGTTGTCAAAACGTGACCTTGTTTTATCTGGGGGATTCCGTCCTTGCGCGCATGCGCAAACATACTTACACGTGAGGCATGTTAAAGGGTTTTCCACTTATACCACCTGTTTACAGATAAGAAGGCAATGTGATGAAAACTTGTTTAATTATCAGAATTTTGACCAATATTACTATATAAAATAATTTTATGGCTTTGATGCGTAAAATATCATGCATACAAGCATGTCATCGCATGTGAATGCGTTGGGGTAACGGTACCGGGTAATAGATACACGAGTTTAGTCTACTTTATATTTCCTGAATTACATCTATTTATCTCTTAGAAAATGGTCTGTTCAACAATTATAAATGAAAAATAGGTCCGATATAATAAAATTGTATAATTATAATGGGTTAAATTTTATGTACGGGAACTACTTCTCTTTATACAAAATAATGGATAATTTCGGTACCCCATATGAGGCCTCATAACTAAGGGTTATTCTATGTTTAGAACATGATGGAATTTCCATGATTTGTGTGACGAGCCGAATAGTGATGTGTAACATTCAAATTTTGGTGAGTGAGCGTAATAAAAAATAATGTTTAAGTAACTACGATTTTTGTACGGGAACTGCTCGCATGCCAGTAGAGATAAACCTGAAATCTTTCTTCATGAGTAAAGCTGAAAAGTCACCAAAGAACTTTAATGATTGCTATTTGACTTTAAAGCCAGGAAAGATAATGCAACAAAATCACCTGTATTTGGTGTAGGAGTGGTCTCCCTTGATCCACTATGTATAGATCCAGGGTAGGTACTGACATGATGTATGGTTGCCGGGGGAGACTTCTGTATGCTGACTGTGGATGGAGGCGGAGCCATATTAATCTCCGAATAACCATCAGAACCTATCCGCCTATGACCTCTACCTATAAATACACAAAATCTATACTTATACAGCTTCAAATAAACATAATAATTTAAGTTTTTATTGTTAGTTACATACTAAAAGGAAAAAACTATGCACCATGTTATAATTGTTTTAGAATGAAATACTGTATGTGACTTCCAGATATTGATTAAAAAGCATAACTTTATGAAATGCAATATCTAAATAAGAAGCTGTGTAACAAACACTACACACACTTTACTTTCAAAAAAATCTTTACATCTATACAGGATTTTTGTCAAATAGCAAATAAACAATGCCAATCCAAGTAAACTAAACAATCATATATGAAATGTATATCATGAAGACATAATTTTTCAACTTTTACAGCAGAAGTAGGTAATGTGAACTATCATACTTTATTTCTTATATCTCTAAATTTATTAAACAAAAAACAAACTGGTAAAACATGCATACAGCTGGAAAAAATAAAGCATGCGACTATCCTTCAACTATTACAACACTTTACTGACCCGTTTCATACTTCATAATAATTTAATTTTGGAACTACAAAATTGTGTGACTTAGACAATTACCAATATTTCTATAGTAAAATAAAACTGAGCATAACTTCAATCTAAAGACATAAAATTCTAAAATATTCATCAAAATAAGTTAAACAATGTCCCTGTAAATGGAACAGACTTTAAACAATTAGAACATCTGATATAATATTATACTTGTCTCTTCAGCTTTTACTTAGTGTAAAAGCATTTCAAACCAAGTATGAAAACAATTTAAAATCAAAATGAAAACACCTTTTTATATGTATGTGCCCCAACTCCAACCCTTGGTCTGAAAGCACCTTACATTCCATATGAAAAGACACCCTTAAATTTAGCATAAATACACCTTAAAGTAAGCATAAAAACAAAACACTTAAGAGTTAGCATGTAAACACCTTAAAATGTTATGAACGTACCTTATAAATAGCATGAAAACACTTTAAACTTAGCACAAACATATCTTACACTTTGCAAAAGAGCATCTATACTTAGCATGAAAACTTCTTTAATTAAGCATAAATACACCTTAAACTAAGCATTATAGCACCTTTTACTTAGCATGAAAACACCACAGACTTAGCATGAAAACTCCACAGACTTAGCATAAAAACACCACAGACTTAGCATGAAAACACCACAGACTTAGCATGAAAACTCCTTAACCCATTACTTCATATACACGCCTTTTAACGCCTTTTTCACCCCCCCCCCCCTTTTTGTTGTCTCAAATGATGAAAAAATGCCTTATTTAGGCCCCAAACACTTGTTTTTGTTTGAGAAATGTTGTTAAAAAAAGTGACCTCTTTTTCGGCGCGGCCCCCAACCAAAAGATACATCAGGGGGTTGCCAGAAGGGGGATGTGCCCCCTTCTGTTTGGGGGGTTTGAAGGGGGGCGGAGTCCCCCTCATCGCCAAGAAAAATTTTGGACTTGTGAGAGGCTGTAAATGACCCCAGATTGATCATAAGGTAACGTGTAACCAACGCTGAAAAGCATTTGACTCTATCTCAATCCATTGAGAAAGTGCAGCACTTTGAAATCAATTTTGATGGAAAAAATCAACGCAAAATAGTGATTTTTGGCAATTTTGAGATGTCCCCTCGTTGCCATGGTAACAGAAAATTTAAGCCTGAGCATGTTGTTGCAAGTGCAATGGTCCAGTCAACATTTGTGCCAAGTTTGATTAGTGTTGAAGCAGTTTTTATAGTATTATAGCAATTTGAACTTGTAACGGGAGACTTTTCAATGAAAACAGCCATTTTTCACAAAATGCTCATGAAGTAATGGGTTAAACTTAGCATAATACACTTTGCACTTAGCATGATAGCATTTACACTTAACATGAAAACGCCTATAACTTTGCATAAAACCACCTTTTACTTAGTATGAAAACACCCTTTGCTTAGCATGAAAACACTTTACTTAGCATGAAAACATGTTAATTTAGCATGAAAACACCATAGACTTAGCATGAAAACATCTTACACTTAGCATGACAGCACCTTATACTTTGCATGTACCTTGACCCTTAGCCAGAAAGAATCTGAAACTTGGCATGAAAACACCTTAAACTAAGCATGAAAACATTGTATATTGTGCAATAGGCTGTCAGAGGAAGGTTTGTTGGGGTGGACCAGTGACATACTTAAGCATGGAGCATGCAATGGTAAAATTCTTTTTATATTTAAAAGATAACAAAATACTAAGGTAGCATTAACCAGTGACCAAAGCATTTAACTATTTTCTAAGTTCAACATTTTGTATAAACATTTATGCAAATGAATCTAAACATTTATCTTAAAATAATTGCATAGTTGGAAACTGATATTATGATAACAATGTAACAGTCCTGACAATTGTAGCATAAACTCTTCTCAAGTCTTAAAGAAACTCCACTAAGGTTCAAAAGCCTAAAAACATAAAAATTAAATTTCTTACATAGATCAACTGAGGTATTTAAAAAGAAAGTTATGCCACAGATAACTGAGTAATATAACCAGAAATCAATTGAAAATTGTATCTTTGTGCTATTCTTAGCCAAATTTGAGTGAAAAGTGTTACAACGTTTTTCATTTTTCAATCATTTTCTCCAAAAAATAATTATTTTGGAAAAACATTATGAATTATCTGAAATTTTGCAGACAAGTTATTGGTTTGACCTACATCAAATAGAACATTAATTTCAAAAATTATTTCTAGTCCCATCATGTCAAATAAACTCAGTGAAGTCCCTTTAACATAACTTAAAATAACATGTATATCTTTGACCATCTACCTTTAAGGCATTGGAAAAATAATCTATACATGATTCATCAAAATATTCTGTTATCTTAAAGTCTCCAAAAAATTGGATTCAGGATCATTAACAAACTTTCAAACTGATTATTAGCGGAAAAAACAGTAAATCTTTCTAGAGTGTACCTGAGGAATGCATTCGGAAATAAGTTGAGACGTACTGAATAAATAAAATATGATGCATATATCACAGCTTATGAAGTTAGATGAAAAGGCATATTTCATAGAAAAAGACATTTAATCTCAACACCATCATGACCTGACCTTTGATCTTATGATCCTAGAATATTAAAAAGGGTAGCTTTTAAATATCCTCACCACAAATTTGTAAAATGTGCGGCATATGTATGATTAAAATTTTGCAAAGGGAAAGTTATGGCGTGTGATGCAATAATACAAAACCTCAGATGCTTTAAAACTGTGCATAAACATGAATAAAAACATGCTACTAAAAACAAACTAGCAATAACTGAAAAGTGATACATTTGCATAAGCTGTGAAGTTAAGAAGCATGCAAAAGGGTGAATGGATGAGAATGATTGGTTGATTTTAACCTCCTGACCTTTCTGATGCATCATGGGATTATTTGGTAAGGCTCCAGTTTGAAATATATATGTTGGAGACCCATATGAGCCTGAGCGACGATGTCCCAACACTGTGCAGCACAAATACACACAAAACATTGCTTGTTAGTAAAGGGTCTGTTATATGTTATCTTTATTCATACATGTATTTTGTCCTTCTATGGAATAGAAATGTTAATTATGCACCAGTTAATTGTAACCTTGGTCTCCATCCCCAGAGCCAAACCATCGGCTTAGCTCAATGGGTAGAGCATTGGATTGTGAATCGGGCACCTAAGGTTCGAATCCCAGAAGGTGCAGGTCACTTTTGTTGTGATTGATCATGAAATCTTTTCTATAGTCATTTGCACTGTACCTCTGCTCTGGAATGTACAGAAGTTTCAGTTCCTTGCGAAAGTGAAGGCAAATGGTATTGGTAAACTGTTTGACAGCCTGCCCCAGAATGACGCGGTGACTGAACTGTGCTCTGGTAAATTCAATGTGGCGTACTGCTGTGATCCAGAGTGAGAATTATCAATACCATACCCAGAGCCAGTGAGGGAGGACATTGGTTTCTACAACTTTCCTTCTTTTCTGTCGCTGAACTGTTGCACTGTCATGTCAATGTGGTGGTTTTGTTTTGGCACCACAATAGAGTTCAATTGGGGGTAGGGGGCATATGGCATGAATTGTGCTGTCTGATTATCCACACAGGTCTACCCCTCTACTAGGGTTGTGAAAGGCCAAAAGCCAAAGTTCCATTAAATCAGAAGAGAGTCGAGGCAAAGGCGGGGTTACCAATTGACTGGTGCATGTCTTTATACTATTTGTTCAGTCAATAATTTAACATCTTTACATTTTAATGAATAAATAAATATGTACCATTATCTTAACTTAATTTTGGTATTTAAAAATTATTTTTAAATCATATTTAAAGGTTATTCCAAATGAACCACATCATTGAATTTCATAGTAAGTATCACATAATACTCACATAATAAAATTATCAATTTTGCATGTTATGACCTGTATAATTATGTATTCCAAAGATAACCTTATGCTTAATATTTGAGATATTTTATGGCTGAAATATGTGAATGGTTATAAACATACAACATTAACACAAACAAAAAATGAACCAGTCCAAAAAAAATTGATGCAAACACAAATTTATCAAAGGATTGCATACAAAATTGAAAAAAATAAAATATCATGACTATTTTGGACACAGTCTAAATTTTGCATTGCTCATATCTTATATAATGTATGGTATGAATGAAGATGTATGGACATTACAAAAGCTTGCATATATACAACTGTACATTATCAACAAAATTGTCAAAAATTACTTTAATCTTTTAAAATAAACATGCTTAAAAAAGTGTAAAAAACAAGGAGCACAAAATTATAATCTTTTTTTAATCTGGGTTTGTTTTTAATTCATTTTAAATTATTTTAAAAAAACCAAATAAAAACTAAAACGAAAATTAATTTAAACATTTGCCCTTTCTTTAAAAATTTTTAAAAAATAATTTTATAATACCCTAACATCCCTTAAAAATCAATCCTTTAAATTGGGCAAATCTGGCACTAGACAATTTTTACTGCCGTAAGAGACCTATCTTACATGTCAACATCAATATGAATATATGCTCCAGTCCAACACTCATCCTCGGTATCCAAGGCTATTTGTATACCAGTATCAGTAAATATTAAATGTAATATATACAGAATGTGTACTGTGGGTTCAGACTAAGGTCCAACACCCAACTGATGATTCACTTTTAAGAATAAATATTTACTGCTACATAAAATAACAAAGCCATCTTTATACACTGGTAGATAAAATATTTTTAACATTATAATGTTTCCATGGCAACGAACAATTTTACCTTTAGGATGTATGCCCACTCCTTGAGACATGATGTCATACTCTTGAAGATTGGTAAGATCAGCAGAGTACCTGTTCATTATAACAATCATATAGATCAGAATGTAAATGTTGCAAATATAAATACCAAGGTAGTTGTTTAATCCTTGTCATGCTGGCAGCGACTGATTCTATCCAGGCTACCAGTGCAGACCAACATCAGCTGGGACATCTGTGCCATATAGTCTAACCATGACTATTTAGTCACTTTATATTTTACAGTAAGTTTAAACATAAAATAATTTTAATTTGATTGTGTTGAAAGCTATAAGCTTATTGAAACGCTCTCCACTACGTACCTGGAACCAACCAGTACTAAGCAATGAATGTAAAGTTTCTTGCTCAAGGTAACAACACCTTGCCCTGACTGAGTTTAACCCATGCGGTCAGCAATCCTTAGATAACTAGTCAGATGCGTTAACCACTCAGCAACGCTGACATTATTTTGAATTAATATTTATCATCTTCATACACTTAAATATGATAATAAGCTTGTCCTTAAACTTCTTCCTTCCAAACAAAATTAATTGATTGATATGAATATGTTTGTATTAACTTGACTATCCAGGCAATAACTAGCAAATTTTCCAGCTATGTTACCATTAAAGTAATAAAAGTTGCAACAATTTACTGGGCTTGTAACTAAGAAAGTATTAATTATTTTATTGGTTATGTTATTAGGATTATGATATACCTTTTTTGCTGATGATCAACTGGTGTACCAGATCGCGGACTCTGTATTCCTATCAGGCTTTCCCTACTTGCAGCCAGGGAAGGGGGAGCACTCCGTTGACTGCGACTTTCCTCCTAGATGACAATGCAAATATTCTTACATACATAAAATATCATAAGACAATTGTGAAGTTTATATATGTATTTTCTATTTACAATGCTGCAGCAAATTTAAAATCATTTTCAATTTTAATTAAAGACAGCAATGGTGAAGTATTAAACAAAACTATAAATTCAATATTATTTTTTAGTATAAAAATCCTAAGATTTGAGACAAATCTCAGAAATATAACCTCCCCGCAAGGTAACTTTCCCTTGAGCTGGTCAATATACTCTTTATGTTGAATAAAATCGTCACCTAAGTGCAATAATGGATTACCTTCTATTTAAATTCAATAAAAGTTAATTCTGTTACTGCTCTAAGATGACTAAATGTTATGTACATTTTAAATATCATATAAATGATAAATGATATGAATGTAGGAAACATTTTAAACAAGAGGGCCATGATGGCTCACCTGACCCATCAAACTCATCCAAACAATTACCTAGACAAGCATTCTGACCAAGTCTCATGACAGGTGAGTCAAAAATGTGACCACTACAGTGTTAACAAGGATTATCCATATTTGAGCAGTGTGACCTAGTTTTTTACCCAGGTGACCCATATTCAAACTTGACCTAGAAATCATCAAAACAAACTTTCAGACCAATTTCCAGGATACTTGGATCAAAACAGTAGCAACTAGAGTGTTAACAAGATTTTTCTATTTTTAGCTCCGGTGACCTTGTTTCACATGCGATTTCGAACTCATCCGAGCAATTACCTAGACAAGCATCCTGACCAAGTTTGATGATAATTGAGTCGAAAATGTGACCACTAGAATGTTAACAAGGTTTTTCCATATTTGGGCGGTGTGACCTAGTTTTTCATCCAAGATGACCCATGTTCGAACTTGACTTAGAAATCATCAAAACAAACTTTCAGACCAATTTACAGGATATTTGGATCACAACAGTAGCAACTAGAGTGTTAACAAGGTTTTTCTATTTTTAGCTCCTGTGACCTAGTTTTTCATCCGAGATGACCCATGTTCGAACTCATCCGAGCAAGTACCTAGACAAGCATCCTGATAAAGTTTGATGACACTTGTTTCAAAAATGTGACCGCTAGAGTGATAACAAGATTTTTCTATTTTTAGCTCCCGTGACCTAGTTTTTTATCTGAGATGACCCATTTTCGAACTCATCCAAGCTATCACCTAGACAAGCATCCTGACCAAGTTTGATGATGATTGAGGCAAAAATGTGACCGCTAGAGTGTTAATAAGGTTTTTCTATTTTTAGCTCCTGTGACCTAGTTTTTCATCCAGGATGACCCATGTTCGAACTCATCCAAGCTATCATCTAGACAAGCATCTTGACCAAGTTTGATGATGATTGAGGCAAAAATGTGACCGCTGGAGTGTTAACAAGGTTTTTCTATTTTTAGCTCTTGTGACCTAGTTTTTCATCCGAGATGACCCATGTTCGAACTCATCCGAGCTATCACCTAGACAAGCATCCTGACCAAGTTTGATGATGATTGAGTCAAAAATGTGACCGTTAGAGTGTTAACAAGGTTTTTCTATTTTTAGCTCCGGTGACCTACTTTTTCATTTGAGATAAGCCATGTTCGAACTCATCGAGCTATCACCTAGACAAACATCCTGACCAAGTTTGAATGATGATTGAAGCAAAATTGTGACCTCTAGAGTGTTTAACAAGGTTTTTCTATTTTTAGCTCCGGTGACCTAGTTTTTCATCCGAGATGACCCATATTCGAACTCATCTGAACTATCACCTAGAAAAGCATCCTGACCAAGTTTGATGATGATTGATGCAAAAATGTGACCGCTAGAGTGTTAACAAGGTTTTTCTATTTTTAGCTCCGGTGACCTACTTTTTCATCCGAGATGACCCATGTTCGAACTCATCCGAGCTATCACCTAGACAAACATCCTGACCAAGTTTGATGATGATTGAGGCAAAAATGTGACCTCTAGAGTGTTAACAAGGTTTTTCTATTTTTAGCTCTTGTGACCTAGTTTTTCATCCGAGATGACCCATGTTCAAACTCATTCGAACTATCAATTAGATAAGCATCCTGACCAAGTTTGATGATGATTGAGGCAAAAATGCGACCGCTAGAGTGTTAACAACTAAATGTGAACGGACGACGGCCGGCGGATGACGGACAATCATCAATCCTAAAAGCTCACCCTGAGCATGCTCAGGTGAGCTAAAAATATAAGTTATATGATACCTCAGTGACTATAGGAGTAACTGTCCTCTGTGGTGTGTGAGGCGTATGTGGTAACTGGGGTATATAGTCACCACTATGCCGCACTGTCTCACTAATAGTGCTGGTACGAGACTCACCACCAGTAGCCTGTGGCAGGTTGTTGGTACTCACAGTACTGGGGGGACCAGTAAACTGCGTACCAGTTGGCATTGGAGAATTAAATGCTAAAGCAAAAGATGAAATACCTGTTACATAATCGTAATGATACAGTCAATTAATGATCATAAACAAATGTTTTCTTCTAAAATAAAATTATATTAATGAAAAACATCAGTAGTAAAATATACAAAATTTAAACATTGAAAAACTGTTTACTGTACTATGCCTTAATGTGCAAGAAGCTATTAAAATTGCAAATTTAAAAATTGGTTTTCACTTAATCACTTAACTTCAGATAAAAATCCCAACAACTAACTTTATTCTGTTGTCATTCCTCATAACCTGATTAATTCTACATATCAATTATTTATTAAATACAAGTGCAGAACAGGCATGGGTATTATTCCTGATGCAATTAAACCTTCATAAATCAGGACTGTCGTTTGGCAAAATTAGGGTCAGAATATAGGCCCCCAATTCCTCCCCTCTGAAAAAAAGTTTTTCTTTCCCCCTTGAAGGAAAAGTACTTAAAAATCATGCATAGTTCTCCTCTGGCCCAAGTCTCAAAATGAAAGCCCTGTAAATTGTCAGAATAAAGCATAAGTAAACTTACTGTAGTCCATAGATTCATCATCACTGTAGGCCGGGTAGACAAGGGGTTCATCAGCTCCAGAAAAAAACTGTTAACACAACGTCAAGCTAATATTATTAATACATAAAATACATAAATAAGCACATCAGAGTAAAGTAAAAAAAAATCTTCGATTTCCCAAATTTACAGTATGATTGTAAAAACTATTGGGTTTTAAAAACTTGTTTTCATTATCTTTTTTTTAAATATAAAAGTAAAAATAAAAATCACATCTGTCTTTTTTTTCATAAACAGAGAATCTTTGAACCTTTTTACTGACATTGTTCATATCACTTGCTCTTAACACTTTATATTATGAGTCAAAAATTGTTTGTACAACAGGAAGCTATTCTGCTATAACAAACATAGTGTCCCTGAAACTGCCAAGGTGCTTCCTTAGTCCTCACAAATGAAATAATATTTACACTAAGTCAACTTGATGTTGATGTTAACCTTTTAAAACATAACCAAAAACATACAATGCTTATTTCCTTCTTGTTAGAATAAACATTAGATTTTCATTCACTTGACTGCTTGGTCCATGCCTAATAATCAAAAACAGTAGAACTTCAGTAAGTCAAAGTTGAAGGGACTTGCGTAAAAACTTTGACACATCAGGATTTCCACTCATGAATAGGTCTCTATTTAATGACAAAATTTCAAGCCATCAACATTGAGGCATAACAAAAGGAAAGGGCAATAACTAAAAAACAAACAAATTCATTGATGGACTTTGACTTATTTATGGTAAAATATTCTTGAATTACTCATTACGGACCACTTAAAATTTCTGCAAATTGCACATATAGAAGCTCTACTGTATTTCTATATCAATACCTGGAAAAGATGTGACATTATTCTCACAACCTCTGCCATGGACGGTCTCTCTGCAGGATTACTTGACCAGGATCTGGAGAAATAAATATTCCATGTTAAAATACATAGCATTAAAGTCTGATGTCACAAACAAACATTTAAGAAAGATTTAAAGGCCATAGAGTTATAGGCCTTGGACACTGACATTCTAAAATCATGTTTCAAGATTCAAGCAAATACATTCTGTAGTTTTAAAGATTGATGTTGCATTAAAAAAACTTTAACCAGGAATTTGCTAATACCACAAAGGGCCATTATTCTATGGAAATCAAACCATATGTATGGGCCTTGGAGCATTTAGTACAAATTTCTCTTCTGAAAACAAAATTGAGGTTAATTTAAAAATACATCTTACCTTGTCATCAACAACTCTAAAGCTTTTGGTAAATTCCTTATCAAAGGTGGTCTTGTACCTGAAATTTATAATTCTTATATAAAAAAGTGCTTCACAAATTGTTATGATCACTTCTTTTACAAGTCTGCATTCTAAACAGCATCAAAATCTATTTTATACATATCCGTATTGCCAGCTTCCTGAATCTACCAATATGTGTACCTATATTATAATTACCTATATTATGATTATCATAAAGCATGGTCACAATCAAGACTTTGATCTCAGTGCTCCAAGGTAAACTCCAATAGCTAGATTGCTGGTTTAGCATAGAAAACAAATGTTTCTCTGATTGATGAAGTAATGTGGATGCTTTACTGGTAAAAATAGACTGTACTGGACGAAAATGATAAACGGCAAGAAAACTGCTAGAAAACCAGTTCTGTAAGATAACTCCCTATTTAGTTGACTGATGAACAAGTACCATACCATAATACAACCAAAGTTACCTTCCAGCTATTAATAAACCGAATTTATTTATTTAATTTTCTTCCTTCCTTCTCTAATAAAAATGTCTCAATAATTAAGCTTACTATAACACTAGAACTCCGCGAGTCGGATGTGTCGCCTTGTGAACAATGTAGTTTAGGGGAAATGGCCAGGACAAAAATGAAATATGAAAAATAACAAAGGGCAATAACTAAAAAAATAATAAGTGCAGAGCAGCAGTTTCTGTACACTGCACTTCTTATCAATAAGATCTATCATTCTATGATGTTTCAAGTCCATAGCTTTCATAATTGAGGAGAAATGACCAGGACAAAAATAAAGTAAGAAAATCAACAAAGGGCAATAACTCAAAAATAAGAAATGCAGAGTATCAGTTCTTATGCACTGCACTTCTTTTTAATGAGATCTATCATCCTATGAAGTTTCAAGTCCATAACTTTTATACTTTTGGAGAAATGGCCTGGACAAAAATTAAGTATGAAAATTAACAAAGGGCCATAACTCAAAAATTAAGAAATGCAGAGTACCGATTCTTGTGCACTGCACTTCTTTAATAATGAGGTCTATCATCCTATGAAGTTTCAAGTCCATAGCTTTTATACTTAAGGAGAAATGGCCCGACAAAATTAAAGTATGAAAATAAACAAAGGGCAATAACTCAAAAAAATAAAGAAATGCAGAGTACCAGTTCTTGTGCACTGCACTTCTTCTTAATGAGACCTATCATCCTATAAGTTTCAAGTCCATGGCTTTTATACATAGGAGAAATGGCCCGGACAAAAATAAAGTATAAAAATTAACAAAGGGCAATAACTCAAAAATTAGGAAGTGCAGAGTACTGGTTCTTGTGCACTGCACTTCTTAATAATGAGATCTATCATCCTATGAAGTTTCAAGTCCATAGCTTTTTTAGTTGAAGAGAAATGGCCCGGGACAAAATTAAAGTATGAAAATTAACAAAGGGCAATAACTCAAAAAATAAGAACTGCAGAGTACCGGTCCTTGTGCACTGCACTTCGGGTTATTGAAAGAAGCATGCATACCAAGTTTGAAGTCATTCAGACTTATAGTGACTGAGTTATGCTCTGGACAAGCTTTAGGGGACGCCGACAACGACGCCGACAACGACGCCGACACAGACGCCGCCGCCGACACCGCCGACAAAAGTAACCCCTATATGTCACCTTTTCAAGGCGACACAAAAATACAGTATTACCATTATGTACTGCCCACATGATCCTGAAAGCGGGCCCACCAATCTCATCAAATGGTTTTCTTCTTGTGAACACCTCCCACAGTATAATACCCCAACTGAACACATCACATTTCTCACTGTAGTTACTCCCTGTATAATATCAAAATGTTCACTTTTTCACTATATTTTACTATGAACCATATAACACTAAAATTGAGAATAAGAAAAGTGCCCAACATTGAGAAAAACAAAAGAAATTAAATTTAAAATTATCATAAATAGTGCAGTTGTTTCCATATACATAAACAGAACCAACTAGACTAAGACTTGTATTTCAAAATTATTTACATAAAATATTTGAGAAATGGGAGGCGAGCTAAAAAAATGGCTCATTGTTTAGAACTTCTGACTATTAAAGAAATAAACATACATTTTACTATCACGTACAAAGCAGAATATTTTGTTAAAAATCTAAACAGAACAGAATGATATTTTTAAAATCTCTAGGTTTACTTTGGTAGGCCATGTTCTCAAATGAATTAAATATATTGTCTCCCTCTTAATTCTAAGAAAATATTTCACTCATACCAGTTCTGCCAAAGATCACCATTGTAATAAAATGAAGAGCTTGTTTTCATATACAAATAAGACAGTAAATTTCTAATTTTGAACAAATTACCACTCCACTTCCCAATATTGATAAGAATGAGCATGTGACCTGTCAATTTAATACTGAGAGAAAATTAACAACACCACAACTTGAAATACAAGTATTACCTTCAAAGACTTCTGGAGCCATCCATGCAGCACTACCTTTGTTGTTTGTCATATGAGTCTGTATATCACATGCAGTACCAAAATCACATATCTTTAATACTGTACCACCCATAATTAACAGTAAACTGAAAATAATACATGAATTGATTATCTTGATCAGGGGTGAGAGTTTTATAAACTTTTAAATTGCTATGGAGTTTCTTGTAATACATGTAGCTGGTAAGGAAGTATGGTCCTTACACCAGAGCTGCCCAAACCATCTATTCTTACAAGAAAGAAAACATTTGATAAGCACTTTTTCCCAAGTCCTACACAAAAAGGATCAAACCAACAATCTTTAAGAGAATTTATGCACTTTTCTTTTTCAAGTTCATTAATCTAAATGAAAATATTATCAAAAAGCTAACAATATTAATTTTGTAAATAGCTGAAAATAATATAGAGTGCAAGTTTAAATCCAGAACAATCAGCAATCAGAACAACAAGTTATAACGGCATGGCTAAGTAATTAACATGTCGTGCTAGTAAGCTAAGAAAACGTAAGCTACATGGGTTCAAACCCCATCAGCGCCGCAAACCGATAAGTAGTGGTTGGTTCCAGGAATGGAATCAAGAGTGTGTATATAAGCTTATAGTTTCGAACTAAAATAAATTCTGTATAAACTAAAACAACTTTTTGCCTATGCAGTTTGACCAGCCTGTAAACTAGGTATCTTTTAATTTTACTTGTTTGATCTAGGTGGCTGACCCTCAAGTTATCAACATGAAGATCTAAATCCAAAGCTGGCCCAGCCAACAGCACAAATTCAATAAGACAGTGAGCTTGACTTTTCTCAATGCTTGACTGTAAGAAAAGGGACTTAACTTTATAAAAAGGTAGCCTTTAGTTATGGGAACTATGCCCATCATGTTAGATAATTACAGAGCACAAGTTCGGTATGTGAAGTTTCAACCCATTTCCTTCAATAGTTCTAGATATACCAGCTTACAGGCAAAAATCACAGGAGCTTGAAATTCTATCAATAATCGCTCAAAAGTCCGATTTAAAAAAAAAATCCATACCTATATATAAAAAAACACTACATATAAAAAAACTAAAATAAAACTAAAAACTAAAAAAAATATGTTTTTTTATATATAGCTATGGATTTTTTATAAATCAGACTTTTGAGCGATTATTGATAGAATTTCAAGCTCCTGTGATAAAAAACACATATATATAGGTAATGGATTTTTTTTTAAATTGGACTTTTGAGCGGTTATTGATAGAATTTCAAGCTCCTGTGGCAAAAATGAACCAAAGTGGAACGCTACTGCTAGGGTTATTACAATAGCACTCCCTGTTAATTGAAAAGTCGAGCTAAAAACAATGAAAGAAAATCAGTTTAGCAAATATACTGAGACCCAATCTTATTCATACTTCATGGAAACTCCTCGAAATAAAAACATAAAGTATGCATACTTTGGAGGTTTCAGATCCCTGTGTATAAGAGCTTTAGGTTTCATACTGTGTAGATACTCCACCCCTTTAGAACACTGGAGTGCCCAGCTCATGGCATGAGCTGCAGTGTAGGTAGGCTGTGGACCCACACCATGTAATACTGAAAATAGTGATTGAACAACATACAGAAAATCATTTCATATTACATTTCAATGGTCATATATTTGATTTAAAGCTTTAGTGGTGGATTATAAACAAGGGTTCTTTATCTTAACAAGAGATATTATTATTATGCACCCCCTCATGGAAAACAAATAGTCATGTCACTAGAGGTTTATGATTCAGTGGAAAACAAATCAACGATACATATCAGTATCAGACAACAAATATCAATGATATACCAATATATCGATAATTTCTTACTCTAAGAAATAATTACTTGTTTGTAATTCATTTTCATAGATGTTTAAATGCTTTCAGTAGAAAACATGTTCTTTTCATACATATGTCTTGTTTTAAAATGCCCATTGCAGGACTTTTGCTGACCATTTTTTGTCATCACTGCTATGAATTATGCTTGTGCATAATGTTTTGGGTAAATTTTCATAATTTCTAGACATTCAAATAAAGTCAAAATTATCGATTTTCTAAAATGTGTATCGATTATTGAGTGACAGTTACATTGATACATTGATATCATTTCTATTGATGACAGCTTTACATGTCACATGGTCTTCTCATTTGTAAAGTTTTCACAGATCTGGACTGTTAATATATTGAAAAATTGTGAACAATACCATTATATAATGAGCCTCCTTCTGCATATTCCATCACCAAACATACCTGAAATACAATATGAGGAATTAAATGGCATACATCAAACAAGAATTTATAAACAGACTTCGAGATGTTTCAATATAATTATAGACTTTATGTAGTATTAAAAAAGACAATAAGATGAATATCTAAGGAGTAAATTTTTCACATCTCAGACTCTCAAACATAACTGAAGGCAATAATAAAAATGTTAAACACTTAATCTGCTGAATTTGTAAAATGGTTTTGTCCTGCTTGAATTTTGGACAATCCATTTGAAAGTTTTGGATTTCAACATAAAAATACAAAAATTGAATTTAAATACCAAAGTATTGAGCCTGGTTCAACTGACAGAAGTTCAAACTAGCCTGACTCTATACAGATAGCAAATGCTGATCATTTAGGCTCCAGGTTTATCTAAACTTACTCAAATATTGGAGTATCATCTCAAAATCTTCCATAATTTCATCATATCATTTATATTAAATGTTTCGTTAAGGGGTTTCTATTTGTAAGAAAAATTATTTTTGAAGATGTAATATGATTTCTGCTACCATTGCAAGCATAATTTTGCATGAATTGAATCCCTTATTGGATCCCCAAAGAAAAGTCCCCGAAAAAATAAGAAGATTATTAAAGAAGATTGAATCTTACATCCATGGTTTAAAGTGTACACTTAAAAAATGTAATGCTTTGATGAAAAAGAAAAATTACTCATGTATCAATAAATATAATTCAGACAATTTATTTCACTCTTTGGCCTTTAACAAAATAATGCATAAAACTGTAGATATCATTCAATATGTATTATAACATGTGTTATCAAAAAATTGCATGTCGATGTAAAAGAGAACTAAACAGAGAGTTTGTTAATGTTTTCACCATAGAGATATTCATATATCATTTGATATTTACCGGTGCCCTTGTACATGCTCCATATAACTTCACTATGTTAGGATGATTAACTCTGGATAATTGTTTAAGCTCTGTAAGAAAAGCTTTCCTCTCTGACTCTGTCTCTATAATCTTCACGGCAACATCTTTAGCTCGCCATTTGGCTCTACTTACAACACCAAATGCTCCTTTCCCAACAATCTTCAAGAAAAGAGAATGCCATACATTTATCCATAGCTGAATAATGATCCCCATTTTATAATTTACTCATTAAATCAATTCAAACAAATACTTCATGACACTATGTGTTGTTTATTTGTTTGCTTTTTAGCTATACCAAAGCTATATATCAGATCATTGTAAAAAAAACTGTCAAACATCTAAAACTTTTGTCATCTAAAACTAATGTACATGTATGGAAAAAAATAAAGTCCCATTTTATTGGAGATTTTGTAGCCTAATTGATTATATTAAGGTATGAAAGATTAGATTCATTTTACAGACTTTATCATCCTATGAAGTTTCAAGTCAATAGCTTTTATTGTTTAGGAGAAATGGTCTGGACAAAAAAAAAACATATGAAAATTAACAAAGGGCAATAACTCAAGATTTAAGAAGTGCAGAGTACTGGTTCTTGCGCACTGCACTTGTTCTTAATGAGATCTATCATACTATGCACTATGAAGTTTCAAGTCCATAGCTTTTATAGTTTAGGAGAAATGGCCTGGAAAAAATTAAAGTATGAAAATTAACAAAGGGCAATAACTCAAAAATTAAGAAGTGCAGAGTAACAATTCTTGTGCACTGCACTTTGGAATATTGAAAGAAGCAGGAATACCAAGTTTGGAGTTAAATCCGCCTTATAGTGACTGAGTTATGCTCCGGACAAGCCACCACTGACAAAAGTAACCCCTATATGTTGCCTTTTCAAGGCAATACAAAAACATCTTATAAAACTTGGATCCATTTTCAAATATGAGCAGTAAATTTTTACCTTGACACAGGGAAGGAAGAATACCTAATTTCATTGCAAATCTATAAAATTGTTACATTTTCAAGCAAAAACTAATAATTAATGTAGCTAGGATTAGTTTTCAGTAACTTTTTGATCAATGTATCAAAACATTATCTTATAATTTGATTTTTGAATGGTAATGTACTATGCCAGAGCACGGTCAGTAGACAACCTTGGGATTTTTCAGAAACACTTTCAGTGTTTCCCACCTAACTAGAGGTTCACTGGTACGAAACCCAGGTAATCCTCGCATGTATCAGTGCTATACACTGGGCATGTAAAAGAACCAACTTCCAAGGAATCTATTAAATAAGAGCTAGGGACTGGTTCCCGGATTTCCTTGTATCTCATAGCTGTCTCTAGTGTCTGCTGAGGTAAGGACCCTACTGGAAATAGTGCTTGCACTTTCGTAGGTTATCCTTGACCGCCTAGTCTAAAGAAAATCAATCAATCAATCAATGCATATTTTGTGATGTTGAGTAATAAAGTCCTAAAGTAAGTGTGTGACCTAAACAAGTTTACCATGGCCAAAACAAAATAAATGATATTTGAAAGGGGGTCAGAGGTTATGAAGCTTGCATATCACAGAAAACATGCCAAAAGACTAGCTAGAGAGACTTCAGGGAACAGGTTTTATAGTACTGCTAGACCTGTTTACTGTCGCACAACGTCAAAATAAAAGAGACATATAAAGTTATGGAAGCCAAAACAACCAAAAGACAAGTTAAAAGAAATTATGCAACATATACTTAACTTGTCCAATTAGTCTTAGTTGGACAAGTTATTTTGACATATCTTGCAAGAAATCTGAGTCGGTAATAGGACGTTGATGTCTTATTACTTATGTGGTTTGTATAGAATATGTCTTTGGTAATTATAATACATCATACGATAAAAAATACACGGATTTTTTTTCAAAATATACTATATCCGAAAACTGGTATACTAGCAAGGTGCCCCAATTAGTGACTACTTTACCTCGTAAAATGATAATTCAACAGTGTCTATCTCCTCTACAAATCCTTGAGGAGATTCCATATTTTAACTTCAAGTTAGGACCATTATTACTACCTCTATTAAGAAATATGAAAGTTTAAACTTCTTTTGTTTTGGATCATGACCAATTAAATATGCGACTTCCGGTTTCAGAAAGGGCAAGGAAAATTATTTATTTTCAAGTGTTGTCTTTCAATTTAGTTATCACTTGCATGAAAATATGTTTGAAATATTGTATTTAATGAAGGATTGTCTTAAATATTAAGTTATTTTGCTTGTAAGTGACAGTATTCTTCCTTTTCCTTGTAATATTTACTTTCTTAATGTAGTAGTAATCGGACACGAATAATTCGGATGATAATTTCATTCCCTTTCATGCATTCTTGAATTTACAAATGTAGTATCCAGAGCGTTTGTTTGAAAGTGAGAAATTGATGTGTGTTTGTATCAATTTCTATTTTGTACATGTGATTTATATCAAGTGGTTTACAAATTTCGAGCATAAATCTGTTATTTCAATATTTGGTTGCAAACTATATTCTTTTAAGCATGTTCTTTAGCAGTGATGTCAGGTCAACTCATCAGAGTTTGGGTCAACATGTCTATTATTTTTGTCATCTCATCCACTTGTCACTTTTTACATGTACATGTAGATCAACTTTTCCTCTGTTTTTGGTCAACTTGTCTCTAAACTGGAACATGTTTACAATAATATGTTCCACAATAATTCATTCAAATAATTTATTGTATAAATGTTTAATCAGACGGAATAAATTGGGTTTAAATTAATTACTGAAATTTAGAATTTAAACTGAATTAAATTAAGTCCGAAGCATTGAATCTGGTTAAATAGTGTACATACATGTGTGAATTGATTTAATCTAACATAGTGATAGCACCTTATGAATTTTACAGATTTTAGGTGACATGCATATTAAACATACATCAAAGTACATTTATGTGATAAATTATGCTACATGACAAGCAATTTTGGAAAGCATCCAATCAAACACCAACTTGACCAAGTGAGGTGTAATAATCCAATTGTGAATAATCAAGTGACTCATGTTTCTTATTGTACATACATGTGTACATTTATTAACTACAGTAGCAGACAGAACTAAAAAGGGGAACATCTCATTTGTTTATGGCTTACTTACCATTCATTAATAATTCAAGAAAATAGGTTACAAATTAGGAATTGAGTTGACCAAGGGACACGTTGACCACAGGAAGAGACTGAGTTGACTGAGGCATGAGTTAACTTGAAACCTTAGCAATAATTGTTATTAAACATGACCACTACTTCAGATAAAAACACTGAGCAATCATCTAAATTCTATGGGTTTTTTTTAAATATAGAAGGAAGGAGTAGCATAGAGGTTAAGTTAAGGTGTCTCTCTATTAACCTAGGGATTGTGGATTCAATTTGTATGCACTGGTGACACAATTATATTTCCTCATATGACACCAGTACTGGTTAGTTCCAGGAACCTGACAGAGAGAGGTTCAAATAAACTTCAAGCTTTTCATAGCTTGTTATAAGATAAAATAAATAATGTTTAAACTATTTTTATGATAGAACATTTATATTTACAGGAATATAATTTATGTTGAAGCTTTATAATGGGAATGAATCACAGATCCCATTCGTTATGGGTGTCACCCAATGTAACAATGTCCACAATAAACACTACACCAGCTGAAGATGTACTTATTAATGGATGTGTAAGCAACTTTAGCACTGTAGCTTGTATCAGGTAACATTATTTCTGATTACATTTATCTCCCTACAGGTTTTCTGCTTTAATTTGTGATAAAGTTCTAAAAGTACAGTTATGTTTGGTGTATATTATTCAATTAAGTGAAACATGATTAAAATATTTTGGTTGTATGTGTGACACTTTGCTGCTTTCCCTAATTTTCTTGATGATTGTTTCCTGTGTTATAATATTAGTTATTAAGATTTCTGACAGGTTATATGACCCAATGTTTGGAAGTATAACCCAAGCCGCCAGTCATATAATCAGTTAGAAATATTTATAACAAACTTATAAAACAGCAAACTTCCTTCTTTTCTTTTTTTGAGAAAAAATGTGAGATTTCTTCATAAATTGGCAGCAGTCGTGTCTAAAAGCTATATAAACGTCATGATAATCCAATGAAAGGAGACATAACAATCATGCAGTATTATAATAAATAGATATACATGTATATTGACTTTTCAAATAGCTCTGATTATGTTTAATTCTGTAATTGTTTTTCAAGTTCATGATATATTTTTATGAACCTTTCTTGAAAAAAAACAACATTCAGATTTGGTTAAACACGATATATGGCTTCTTTAACTTACCTTTTATACATATTTTATTCTTCATTGACACTCCTGTCTATGTTGACCAATTTGTTGTAAATATTTCAGGAGCTCTTTGCTGACATTCCTGGCTGTGTTGACAGCTATTTTGTGTGTGTTGAAGGTAATAAAGTTACACCATGCTCATCATCAGAACTGGCACCAATATTTTATATTCTACTGTGCTTCATTAGAATGTTCTATAGGGTCAGTACATCCTGTTTTTACCACTTTATCATATTGTTGGTTATGCTTAGACTTTGACAAAATGATGAGTATCTTCAATATGGCTTACTTGACTTTACCTTGATTTACCTTTTGTTAAACCCTTATCCTTCTGAAACAAAAAGTGATTAACATTTGCCACTAGTATAGAGTCAGGCACATCCATGGTGTATGTCTGACCCAGCTCTATACTGCTGACAAACTTCATAATTTGAGCCTCGTCATGACAAAACCAATATAGTGCAATTGCGACCAGCACGGATCCAGACCGATGATCAGGAGCCATGCTGTTTGCCTACAAACCCTATTACAAGTAGAGAAACTGATAGCAAACAGCATGGATCCTGATCAGACGCACTATAATGGTTTTGATGTGACGCGGCTCAATTGTTTGTTTGATTGGGTTTTACGTCACACCGACACTGTATAGGTCTTCATATTTTCATCTTGACATCCCAACATTACATAATGGAATGTTCCAATAATGGAACCTGGACAAGTCCATAGTCATTTAATAAATTCAACAGGTTTAAGTTACTTTTTAATTTCCATTAATTTACAAATCAACTCATTATTGCATGGATACATGGTCTTGAAACCCTGGAACTTTATTCTTTTATTATTTCCTTTCCATAAATTTCTATTTTGTGAAGATTATTGAGTGTTTGTTTAGTAACAAAAAGTAATTACCCTAGATATCAGATCTGCATATCTGGATGTTACATGTATATTAATGCTGCATGCCTCCAGATGAACCGAAAACTATTTCAAGAAAATCAAACTTGAGAAAAAATTACTGAGATTTTAAGAAAAGTAAAAAGATTCAAGATAAAAGTAATAATTTCCATGTTATGTGCGAATTATGGTTGATTTTGCAGTATTTTTCACCTTATTTCTACTGTGTTACATGTACTTACATAGTAAGGTCTATTTTTGCATATTTTGACCTCTTTTTGATAATTTACATGGGTTGTAAGTGCTATTGGCAGTGTGAAAATTATTTTCTTTGTTCACTTCACAATATTTTAAATTTTAACACATTTTCAAAATTTTGCATGAAACTTCAGATATGCTGCTTTAAAGTGAACATGAAAATTATAAATGGATTGATAATTTTACAGGGCAGTACACTGGGTTCTGTCGTTATATGTCCAGTTTGATTTTGTGCTCCAATGGCTGAAACTAGCTCAGTTCCTTGTAATGTGCCATTTTTACTGGACCCTTGCTACCAGGGCATTAAGACGAGAAATCTGGACAAAAAAGTAAGCTGACATATCAATCTTATCACTAGAATACATCTGCCTTTCTTCTTTTCATAATTTCCAATCAAGTTATGAAACTTAATCCATTTACTGCATATTTGTTGATGAAAGATATAGATAAGATAAATCAGCTATTTAGAAATACATACATGTATATTTTTTTACACTGGTACAATGCTTTACAATGTTTAAAATTCTTGGTGGTAGATGCATTCTACTCTGATTATGTTATAAAGAAATGAGTCGTGTCACGACAAAACCAACATAGTGGGTTTGCGACCAGCATGGGTCCAGACCTGCCTGCGCATCCGCACAGTCTGATCAGGATCCATGCTGTTTGCTTACAAACCCTATAACAAGTAGAGAAACTGATAGCGAACAGCATGGATGTTGATCAGACTGCGCGGATGTATGTTGGTTTTGTCGTGACACGGCTCAAATGATTTGAAGAATAAAGGAAGCAATGAAATACTTGTTTTGTCACTTATCTGAACATTACCCACTTAAGCTTCACTTATGATTTTTTGTTTCAATCAGTGAAGAAATTTTAATGTGAAGATATATTTTCATTACTTTCTATGTTATAAGAAAAGCACACTATGATATCTACAATATTTCAGATTCCTGTTACCTTTCCTAGTGATAGCATGTCTATATTTTACAACTGTAGCTATTCTTGGTATTGTCAATGTACAGGATACATTAACAGAATGCTTTCGTAAGTATTCTTAAACAGTATATCTGGGATCCTCATTAAAAGTAGATATCTTAGAAATATATAAAGGGTTTGTTATCATGACTTTCAGTCGAAATTTCAAATAGCTGGAAATTTTACTATTACTTTGTATATGAATGTTTTTGTTTTATACTTCACCCAACTTACAAAAAACGTACCTCTGGAGTCAGAAGAAGAGTTAAATTTTCACGTATTGAAATGTGACCTCAAAATCACCTTCACCAGCTAGGTTCAACATATCTTTGTTCTTCTTTTTTTTAGCTCGTCTGTTTGAAGAAAAAGTTGGGCTATAATGATTGCTGTGTTGTTGTCTTCATGCAAAACTTTATATAGCCCACCATTTAAACGTTTTAAAAGTAATCATTATGAAACTTAGAATACTTGCTTATTATGACAAGGTGCAGTTGTTATATAAAAGGTATAATTCTGAAAGCAGTATTTTAGGAGTTATGCCCCATTTTAACACCTCATTTTGTGCTCTTGTTTTACATGTATCTTGAAATACATTCAGTTTGAAGCTAAACTTAACTTTTTATAAATGAAATGCTTAATTTGTCTGTGATAGTTGTTGTTGGACATTGATTCTAATAGTCATTTGTTGACATGTTTTTTTAAATAACCATGATTATAATACACATATTGATAGTTGTAAAAGAAGTTACTGTAGCTTTTATTATGTTTCAGAGCCGTATTGGATTATGATGTCATCGGCTGAGTTTATTATTGTACAGTTATTCTGTGTAGCAGGATTTTATATAACACGTAGACTGAATGAAATCAGCACTCTAGACTCGGTGAGAAGAGCACAGAAAAGAGATCTTTGGTGGTATGTTGTCCCTATTTATTCCAAATTGGTATAGAATCTATCATGAGATACTAAGCTGGTCAAATGTTTGAATAACTATTAAAAAAGAAGCTGGACAAATCCATTACACAATTTCAGTGGGTTAAGGGCTAAATTCCGTCATGCTTTGGTATGACTCTTGATAAGAATGTCGCTTTTTCATTTGATAATCATTATGTTCATATAATCTATTTATACGACTGCACTTGATTAATGAAAACAAATTTTTTTTCTCCAATTTTTTTTTCTCCAATAACAGAAGTTTACATTATTATAAATTGGTAATAAAGATTCTTGACAGGTTATATGGCCGTATATGAATAGTTCTTTGCAGTATAACCCTCACTTTATGGGTCTGATCATATATACAAACAACTGTTTATATGGGGCCATATAACCTGTCAAAAATCCTATAACTAATATTGTGAAATTCATTGACTATACAGTACGACCTTGATAGTTTAAATGTGACTTGAAGCAAACTGATCACTCAAAATTATGCTATCCTTTTGTATCAAGATGATAACCATTTCCTTTATCAACAAATCAAGTAAATTATTTATTTTTATGTATAAACAGAATGCTGTATTTTGTATATTACAGTATAGTTGTGGTTTTTGAGTTATCAGCTTTAATTGGTGTACTGTACGACATGACTCTCAGGATAGGTAAGCTATTAATAACATTCTATCATTTTTATTGCGAAGTAGATATATGTCCCTTATTTGCCTTTATCATATCAATTTTACTGTTGATACACACTGAGATGATGGGGACCAGGTGATGTTTTAGTAAAATTAGATTTTAGTAATGATGGGCATTATTACTCTATAAGGTAGCAATTAAAGTGAATTACTAATATTGCTAGTATATAGCCAGTCCTGAAACTTGCTTGTACAGTCTGACCTTACTGTATTGATTGGATTGAGTTTTATATCTAAATACACCCATAAACACTTTCAATATGATCTACCTAAATAACCGAGGTATATCGAGTGAAAAAATACGAGTTGCTTCCCTTATCTTCGAGTAAAATCGATATCGCTTATGCTAAAACAATACAAAATAAGCTGTTTTTAAACCGCTAGTTTGTTGTGATTAAATGTCCGATTTTAAAATGTATTACACCAATAGAAAGCTTTGGATCTTAGCTTCGTCACAGTATAAAATTCAACACATCTTTGGACTTCAAAGTATTTTAATTAACTGTTAAACCTACCATATGTCAGACCATTTTACATACGATTTATACAGTGAGATACGCAATCCGTTATCTTTACTCGAAATTCTACTGATATGAATAGCCTGTCGTCTGCTAGTTCTGAAAGTGTTTATCGGTGTATTGCTTAACCTGAAAATATTTGACATTAAATTCAGAAATGTAAGGATTAAAGGAATTCTGCTGTGGTAAAAAAGCATAAAGTTATATAATTTGAATTTCTTACATAAATCAAGTGAAACACTTAAAATGAAAAAAAAAAAACTGCAAAAGTTATATTCAAATATACTTAGTATTAAATTGAATATCTATTTTGGTGTGATTCTTACCAGATTTCAGTGAAAAGCATAGATATTTGGGTCATTTTACACAATAAAAATGATTGATCTGGAAAATAGGGTGAGGGAATGATCTGAAAATTTGCACACAAGTTCTTGGTCCAAACCTTTATCAAATGGTACACAAATATCGGAATAAATCCAGTCCCGTTGTATCAAAAAACCTTAGTGGAGTCCCTTTAATTTTTCCTCTATCTTAGCAAAGTTGCCATTTACTTTGCAATATCTGTCATTTGTCTCAGATGTTGGTCTTCAAAATTTTAAGTTTTTCCAATCTTTTGTCAATAAATTTTAATACTTTTTTTCAATTGTTTTGAACTTCTGAAAGGAGTAAAAATAATTATATGTCTTACATGTATTCTATTTGTTTTACAGTTGGTGAGCAAAAGTCTGGCTGCAGTGCAATATTTGTAAGTATTACTGTATACAGTAATTTGGTTAATATAAACAGACTTAAACTTAAAATCACAAATGAATAAAATAACCAATGTTATACCTCACTTATTTATATACCAGTAACTCTTAAATATGATGTTTGATAAAGATTATTTTGATATCTAGATTTAATTCTGTATCTAATTCTATTTTCAGGAACATATGCAAGAAATTTTCTCTGTTATTTATTTTGCATTTATGGTAAGTAAATCTTGTTTTTAGGTCACCTGTCACAAAGTGACAGTGTGAGCTTTTGTGATCGCTTTTCGTCCGGCGTCCGTCCGTCGTCCGTAAACTTTTACTTTAAATGACATCTCCTCATAAACCACTAAGCCAATTTCATCCAAACTTCACAGGAATGTACCTTTGGTGGTCACCTTTAAAAATTGTTCAAAGAATTTAATTCCATGCAGAACTCTGGTTGCCATGGCAACCGAAAGAAAAAACTTTAAATATCTTCTTTTAAAAAACCATAAGAGCTAGAGATTAGATATTTGGCATGAAACATCTTCTAGTGAGTGTCTACCAAGCTTGTTCAAATAAAAGCCCTGGGGTCAAAATTGGCCCCGCCCCAGGGGGTCATTGATTTTCCCTATATGCATATAGTAAAAACTTAAAAAATCTTCTTTTAAAGAACCCAAAGAGCTAGAGCTAAGATATTTAGCATGAAACATGTTCTAATGGGTGTCTACCAAGTTTGTACAAATAAAAGCCCTGGGGTCAAAATTGGCCCGGCCCCTGGGGTCATTGATTTTCCCTATATGCATATAGTAAAAACTTAAAAAATCTTCTTTTAAAGAACCAAAAGAGTTAGAGCTAAGATATTTAGCATGAAACATGTTCTAATAAGTGTCTACCAAGTTTGTTCAAATAAAAGCCCTGGGGTCAAAATTGGCCCCGCCCCGGGGGGTCATTGATTTTCCCTATATGCATATAGTAAAAACTTAAAAAATCTTCTTTTAAAGAACTCAAAGAGCTATGGCTAAGATATTTAGCATCAAACATTTTCTAATAGGTGTCTACCAAGTTTGTTCAAATAAAAGCCCTGGGGTCAAAATTGGCACCGCCCCGGGGGTCATTGATTTTCCTTATATGTGTATAGCAAAAACTTAAAAAATCTTCTTTGAAAAAATCCAAATAGCTAGAGTTAAGATATTAAGCATGAAACATCTTTTAGTGAGTGTCTACAAAGTTTGTTCAAATAAAAGACCTGGGGTCAAAATTGGCCCCGCCCCGGGGGTCATTGATTTTCTTTATATGTGTATAGCAAAAACTTAAAATCTTCTTTGAAAAAACCCAAATAGCTAGAGTTTAGATATTAAGCATGAAACATCTTCTAGTAAGTGTCTACAAAGTTTGTTCAAATAAAAGCCCTGGGGTCAAAACTGGCCCGGCCCCAGGGGTGTCATTGTTTTTAACTATATGTGTATAGTAAAAACTTTAAAAAAATCTTCTTTTAAAAAGCCCAATGAGCTAGAGCTTAGATGTTTAGCATGAAACATCTTCTTATGGGTGTCTACCAAGTTTGTGCAAATAAAAGCCCTTGGGTTAAATTGGCCCTGCAATGTTGGGGGGGGGGGGGGTTGGGGGGGCCTATATACAGGTGAGCGACCTCAGGGCCATCATGGCCCTCTTGTTTGTTATTCAATATTAATCATTACATTTAATCATTTTGCTTGTTTTTGTGGATTATTATTTCTGTTAATCATTTACCTTGAGCCAGCTGGTGGGAACTCATTATACCCATGTAACCATTGCAAACCATGATCAGCACATCCTGATCTGTTTGCTTTTCAGTCAGTACATATTTTAAAATTTTCTCTAAATTGAGTTAGTGTTGCTGTCACATTGGTTAAGTCCAAAAGTACAGAAGGAAATTGGTTGAAACATCACATACTTATTTAAAAACATAATAGGAGGTCACTGTTCAAGGCCCAATAACTCCAACTTAGATCTTGACAGAATTATGGCTCTTTTTGAACTTAGAAAGTTTTACATTATCCTGGCTCTTGTTTTACTATGAAGCACTTAATAATTGTTGAGCACACTGTCCTCTTCAAATTCAAACCAAATTTTTTAACAAGCTACAATATTATGTCAGCTATGTCCTTCTTGATCATACTTGTATACAATTCAAATTCTCTTCATATTTGTCCATATCTGTAAGGTAGCAGGATAACTTCTGTACTTAAAGAATTCATTGTCCCTCTGAAGTTTGCAGCTTACAGTGGTGAGCAGCAAGCATTTAAAAACCCTGATCTTAACTACTTGGAAAGGATACCCATATTGTATGATGTGATGTCAAAGATGAATTATGTCAACAAGATTTACAAATAGTTCATTTACTATAACAGCAGTACTGCTAATTCTCTTGTATAAATAAGTTTTCTTCAGAAACATATTGTTAGTGTCAAAATAGTAAAACAGTGTTATCATGTTGAATTAGTTAAATATTATATGCAAGTCATTTGTAATAAAAAAAATAAATTACTTATCATACATGTATGTCCTGCATTCTTATTATTTTTTAAACTGCCTGTATATTTCATTACTTGAATATATAAGAATATTTTAGTGATTGTTCGCTTTTACTCCTGCTAGAGAAGCCTTTTTGGCACCAGTATAAAGTCATGCCTTCATGTACATGCAATGTGACCAGGAACTGTACTGCAGACTGACTAACTTCAAATTTTTATCTTGATATCCTTAAAGTTAATAATGGACAGTTTTAAAAATGTATGCTGGACAAGTTCATTTAAAAATAATTCAGCAGATGAAAGGTAAATAATTAATCTGTGTTACATGTATATTTCTAGGTGTGTAAACTGCTGTTACCAATCTGGGTGATGCTTTTTGTATTTCAACCTACACCTCAAGTTCAGGTGGAAAATGATGACCTCATTCCTGCTTTAACTGATGACGGAGTAAGTTAACAACAAATATCTGTATAATTTTATCACTCCTGTGTGATTTACCATTTAGGTAAAACAACACTAAATCTATTACTTGTGTAATGCTGTTTGTGACAATTTTGTCAGTGTATCAGAATATAAGCACCCCAAATTTTTACAAGAACAAAATTATAAAGTCTTTACAAATTTAAACGATAATATGAAAAATCATGTATGTACATTGATATGGTACTGAGATATTTTAAGTTCAGATTTATGCTGACACAAATATACAATTTATTTGAATACATGTTTTGATGACTATTTATTATTTTGGTGAATTTTTATAGATATACATTTGAACTGCTTTTTACTCAATGTTAATTTACTTGATGCTCAAAAACATTAGGAATATGAAAATTGTTTTAAAGATCAGATAAGAATCTCTTTGGCACAATGTACCTACAGGGTTATTTAAGTTTATACAGAATTTATTTTTGTTTTAAATAGGAAACTATTAGCTTATAATCACACTCTCAAGTTCCTTCCTGGAAAAAAAACAGAACTGAGCAATGAGCGTAAAGTATATTTTGCTCAAGGAAACAATGGTTTTCCCGTGGCAAGGTTTGAACACACCCCACCAACAATCCTAGATAATTAGTCCATGCCATTAACAACTCAGTCACCATGACATGCAAACCAACACACCATGGATAATACAAGACGGGGAAAACCCTTATTTCAATAATTGTAGTCTCTTATGTGTTGATGGCATGCTTGATGGAAATTATCACCGAAAAAATAAAACTTCCTATAATGCATTAGTATATTGTTGAATATTATTATTATAAATATTTAGTTATTATTATTATTTCAGAATTCAGCGTTCAGCACAAACACTGATGAACAGTATAGACAGCTTTATCATCCAGGCGAAAATTATAACTCGTTGGCATATGACACACCATCAGCGTATTCTCCCTCCGGTTACAGCCAGAACGGTATTAACAGCCCTCGAGGCAGCCTCAATACCATGGTGAATGGTGTAGCCAATAACATCTATAAAAATAGCCCTCAGACCAATAATTTGGGAGCTATTACAGAGGAAAATGTCAATAATTCCCAGAATTCTTCTGTAAAGAACAGAAGTACTCCTGTTCAACAGGGATCTTCCCTGAGGGAGAAGCAAGACATCAAGGAGAGTATAAATAGTGTGAAGGGAAAGCAATCTGTTGATGAAAGAAGCAATGGTTTACCTGCGTCTGCTGAGTCACGTTCAAAATCAGGGATGCCGTCTGCTGTTGTAAGGCCAAGTGGAGAAAAAAACCAGTCCAAAAATAACAAACCAGTCACAACAACAACCAGTCAGGTTCAGAAGGGGGATCATGCTGTTGATAAAACTCCACCCACTCAAGTTTTAAATAAAACAGAAAATGGGCCAAAATTTTCTATTAATAGCGATGACTCAGGGGATGAATCCCCTCCAAAAGGAAAATTTTATATTTAATTTTTTTTTTAAATTTCATTTTATTGAATTTGCATGCTTCCTTTTATCACATTTGTTTCTATACAGGTTAGATATTTTAGATTTTATAGGGGCTTTCTGTGAACCTGTTGTAACTTTTACATGTAGTAAAGAATGAAATATGGCCATATTCCCCTGATACTTTACTGTTGTTGTTGTTATTATATGCATTTATATTAATGTATTACATCTATCCATGAATGTTGTATTATCTTGTGGTGTACTGGAGAATCTGGTGAATAAACATGTATTTAAATATAAGAGCATTTAAAAGGTAAAGGCATTCAACCTTACCATTATTTTGTATGGGATATCATATGTAGTGTTCTTGCTGTAATTTTGTACAGAAAATAAGCGCATATTTGATATTGGTTAAGAAAAAAGAACCCCTCCAAAAAAAGACAGGGGAAACACAGTTTAAAATTATCAGTGATTATTATTTGTTACACAAAGATTTAATAAGTATTTTTGCCTTTTTTAATTGAAAGTGCAGTATATAATACTTGACAAGTGTGTTTATGGTACTGGAACGATGATTGAATGGTCCAAGACGTTATACCTTGATTCAACAAATTATGACCATTATGAAATAAAAGGACATAGTGTACTGCGCATGTCCATGTTTTATTTTGAGATAAGCATTATCTTTCTGAATAGCTGTACAATGCAAGTCTATAAGCACATATCAATTATAAGTTAATAAGAAAATATTGCTTGGCTCGAGTATCGGTGAATATCAAAAAAGACCATAAATGTTTCACAAAAATTATTGTATTACTAAGCATATGACTTACTTTTCCAGATTCTGCAGCATCAACTTTACCAGTTAGGGAGTTTTTGCATATTGATATTGTTGCTTTCATTTGAGAGTATTGTTATTGTCTGTTAACATGTTATGTTACCAAATATGATAGTCAAGTATTGATGATAGAATTTGTTTTGTATAAGGTTGTACCTCAAAATAGGAGCTTTTAGTGTATCTTGTGTAATATTTGTGTAACAGAAAATTTTATCAGTGTATATCAATTTGATGTAAATATTTATGTTGTTTTTTTATGTTTATGTTGTTTTTTAGCTCGACTATTCGATAAGAATAAGTAGAGCTATTGCAGTCACCCGAGCGTCGGCGTCGGCGTAACCACTTATGTTAAAGTTTTTGTAATAGTTCAAATATTTTCAAAGTCCATTGACATATGGCTTTGAAACTTTGCACACTTGTTCACCATCATGACCCCAACCTGTAGACAGGAGGAGGTAACTTTATCAAGCATTTTGACAGAATTATGCCCCTTTTTCGACTTAGAATTTACGTTAAAGTTTTTGTAATAGTTCAAATATTTTCAAAGTCCATTGACATATGGCTTTGAAACTTTGCACACTTGTTCACCATCATGACCCCAACCTGTAGACAGGAGGAGGTAACTCTATCAAGCATTTTGACAGAATTATGCCCCTTTTTCAACTTGGAATTTACGTTAAAGTTTTTGTAATAGTTCAAATATTTTCAAAGTCCATAGACATATGGCTTTAAAACTTTGCACACTTGTTCACCATCATGACCCCAACCTGTAGACAGGAGGAGGTAACTGTATCAAGCATTTTGACAGAATTATGCCCCTTTTTCGACTTAGAATTTACGTTAAAGTTTTTGTAATAGTTCAAATATTTTCAAAGTCCATAGACATATGGCTTTGAAACTTTGCACACTTGTTCACCATCATGACCCCAACCTGTAGATAGGAGGAGGTAACTGTATCAAGCATTTTGACAGAATTATGCCCCTTTTTCGACTTAGAATTTTCGTTAAAGTTTTTGTAATAGTTCAAATATTTTCAGAGTCCATTGACATATGGCTTTGAAACTTTTCACACTTGTTCACCATCATGACCCCAACCTGTAAACAGGAGGAGGTAACTGTATCAAGCATTTTTTTTACTATCAAGCACTAAGAATAGTCGAGCGTTGCTGTCCTACCGACAGCTCTTGTTTATAATGTTCATAAATTTGTAAATTTTACTTAGTCAGTATCTGTATATAATAAATCCAGTGGTTGCAATTTTTTTTTTTTTAATTTAGTTTGATTTTACAAGTGTATATATAGATCTTAATACCTGTACTGGTTTTTTTGTTGATGTAAATAAAATCTGATATAAATTTTTATAATTTGAATATTTTTCAGCGTGTCTGTGTTTAGATATACATGTAAATGATTTGATTTTATAAAATGATAAAGTTTATGCTTGTATGCTTGGCATGCATATTTTATAATTACTTACTAGTATTTTTTATAGTGAGGTACATATATATGAATTCTTTTATTATGGAAACTTACATTGTAAAGTGATGTATATTTTTATGTATTTTTAGATTTTAGGTAATATACCAAGACTGTACACACAGCTTTTAGATGATAAATTGTGATGATTTTTTTTTTAATCTTAAAAAATCAATAATATGTGATACAGTTTAACTTACCAGTTTGAACATTTGACTTATTCTTGTTTAATGATATCTTTATTCAATTATTTTTAAAGGGACTCCACTGAGGTTTACTGGAAATAATTTTTCGAGATAGATATTCCATTTGATGTAGATCTAGACAATAACTTGTGTGCACAATTTGAGATCATTTGCTTTCTATGATATTTCCAGAATAATTATTTTAATTGGGAAAAATGACCAAAAACCAAAAAGCTTTGCAAAATTTTTCACTCAAATCGAAATCGGGCTATAAATAGCACAAAACAATTTATTTCTCATTATATTTCGTAATAATAGTTTGCATATCTTTCAGTTTTAAGTGCCCCAGCTAATCTAAGAAAGATTCAGAAATTTCGTGATAAAGGCTTTTGGGCCTCAGTGAAGTCCCTTTAATCTGCTAAATTTATGTAATGAACTGGTCCAGCTTGAGTTTGGAACTGTCCATTATAAGTTAGAGGGATTTCAGTATCAACAATAATTAAGCAGCAATTAGTTTAGAGCCAGGTTAGGCAAAATGGACTGTGCTGGCTCGCCTGAATTTTCCCTTGGCCTACTGACTTTATACAATGGATTTGCCCAACCTATAAAAAAAATAATTTTAAGGGATTTCAATATTTATGTACTATCAATGCCAAAATAGTTTGAGTTACCTTTCCTTAGACAACTTCCACTATATTTGTTTTCTATATGTATTTATGAAATAGCAATATTCTGTTTTATTGGGTTTTATTTTTTCATTCTTAGAAAAACAGCACACATTTTTGGAGGAATTTATCTACCCATAGATGTTTATAATAATACATATTCACAGACAAAAACAAACAAACAAACAAAACAAAACAAGTTCACTTTACTTTCTTGGAACTAAATATAGATTCAAAATTTAAGACATATTGTAAGTACTGTGAAATATGTAATACTGTTGTACAGTGAATTGGATTATAGATTTTATGTCCTTTTTTAATTAAGTACAAAATGTAGGAAGAAAGAAATGATAAAGTATCTCACGATTTAAACATAAGTTTCAATAGGAATCTCTTTGTTTTCTCAAGTTTCTCTCTCAGACGTTTATCAAGATAAATTGTTACATAAAGTATAACTTACATACTTTGTAATAAGACTTTGTCTTTGAACATTATCTTTGAAGATTTTCTAAAATGTTAGAAAGAGATCTGAACATAAAAGAGTCTGATACAGATTTTTTGATATACATTCTAGTATTTTAACCCAGATCTGAAAGTATTTATAATTTTTATATTATATATGTTTTATCAAGGATTCAAGGTTATAAAGAATTTCTAAGCTCAGACTCTAATCTCAGATATTTGATTGGTCAGATCTCAGATATTTGATTGGTCAGAAACTATCACCGTATGAATATTGACCAATAAAAATCTTGAGATTCGAGACAAGTTTTATAACCTTGAGACTAGTATTTCATCAACCAGTTTGTGTTCAAGCACTCATGTTAATTAAAAGGTTAACGTTCACAAGGGGATGGGGATCATTTACCACAAGGGAATGGGATTATTTACCACAAGGGGATGGGATCATTTACCACTAGGGAATTGGATTATTTACCACAAGGGTATTGGATTATTTACCACAAGGGGATGGGATCATTTACCACTAGGGGATTGGATTATTTACCACATTTATATTGGATTATTTACTGCAAGGGGATTGGATTATTTACCACAATGGGGTGGGATTATTTTCCACAAGGTATTTTATTATTTACCACAAATGGATTTGATTATTTACCCACAAGGGGATGGGATTATTTACTATCACAATATTATTTCTTAAAATAATAAGAAATATACATGTGATGTTGCCCAATCATCTGTCATTTCTGGATTAACAATATTCAATAGATTATATGAATTTTTAACCTTTCATATTGCTTAATTTATGTAAATGATTTGCTCTGTCTTCATTATAAAGATGTCCAATGTTAAATATAGGGATTTCAAGATACATGTATAAGATAAAAGAAATATTAAAACAGAGAAACCAACAGTTGCTTCAGTTTCTTGCCTGACTCAGTAATACTGGGGGTTTCTGTGGCTGAGTGTTCAAGGTTGCTGACACTTGCCCCTCACTGTTGTAGGTTTGAATCCCACCAGGGACTTGAGATTCTTTACACATGCATTTTTAGCTCGACTTTTCTATGAAAAGGGGAGCTATCCTACTCGCCCCGGCGTCGGCGTCACACCTTGGTTAAGTTTTTCGTACCACCCCACTTTATTTCAGAAGTATTACAAGTATGGCTTTGAAACTTACCATACTTGTTCACCATCATAACCTCCATCTACAGACAAGAGTACATAACTCTGTCAAGGTTTTTGACAGAATTATGGCCCTTTTTTGACTTAGAAAGTGTATTGAGCTTGGTTAAGTTTTTTGTACCACCTCACTTTATTTTCAAAACCATTGGAGGTATTGCTTTGAAACTGACCATACTTGTTTACCATCACGACCTTCATCAACAGACAAGAGGACATAAACTCTGTCAAGGTTTTTGACAGAATTATGCCCCTTTTTGACTTAGAAAATACATTGAATATGGGTAAAATCCACTTATTGCCTTAACCCTTTGAGATATTGCTTTGAAACTTTTAATGCTATTTCACATCATTACCCCCATCTGTACGCAAGAGAAGGTAACTCTGTCAAGGATTTGTTTTAAAAATTAAGGCCTTTTATCGACTTAGAATCTTGGTTAAGTTTTTAGTACCAGTCCACTTTTTGACTGAACTGTTTGAGATATTAATTTGAAAGTTGGAATACTTGTTTACAATCATGATTCCCAAACATGTCCAGGAGAAGGTAATTCTGTCAAAGATTTTATTTGAATTATGGCCCTTAACTGTCAATGTTTTGTATTATAGGCAAGCACTAAAAAACTTAAAAAATCTAAAAAAATTCATTCCTATCCACTTGTTCACTTTACCATAAATTATGTCATATAAACATTGCTGTAATATTCAAGGGTATCAAACAACTAGTTCACTTTAAAAATACAGAGATTCTTGTATTGCCTTTTACTGCAAAAACTTTTTTTATTGGCAAGCAATAAAAAAGTCGAGCGCGCTGTCTTACGGACAGCTCTTGTTTTGTTTGTTTTTCATTGGATAATGATGACATTTATAAAAACCTATATACACTGCTGATTTCAATTTTCATATTCTTAACAAACCAAAAATAGGTATTGAAAAGTTTCATATTTTCAGAATTTTCTCTGGCAATAGCAGCTATTCTCACAGGGTAAAGTATTGTGTTGGAACTGGTTTTTGTACAGGATTATGAATCTTAGATTTGTTATAACCAGTATAATAAGTGTTTAATGAATGTTAGTTGTATTGCAGTAGTTTGTTTTTCCATTATAGTCTGTTTTAGTGATTACCTAAATACTGAATATAACAAAAAACAGTTTGTTAAGTTTGTTATTGTTAGTTGATTATATTGTATGAATGTTGTTGGTTTTTTTTACTCTCTAAGGAGCAGTTGTGTCTATCCACAATGCTTTTTTAATGGCCAATTTGAGGTTAAATTTGGCCCCAATCCTCTCCCAAAAAGTACATATTTTTATATATAACAGTAAAAAATATAATAAGAAACCTATGTATATTTTATGTAATTTTCTACCCGTTGTACAATATCTTCAGGAGGATAAAGAAAATATTAATATGAAACAACGTCAATGACCTCAACATATCTATTATTTAAGAAAAATCCCCTTCAAAAGTTTCTTTTGAGACACCATTTTTTGATAAAAAAAAAAGAAAAAAAGAAGGAAAAAAAGACGTTTCCAACGATTGTGAAAAAGTCAATTTATGATACTGATATAAAGAAGGGAAAAACACTGTGTATATATGAACCATATTGTTGTGTTTAACTTGGTAATGAGATAGATATATAAATTATATACACGATAAATACGTTTTATGTTAGACGTATATAGGAAATGGCCAGTCAATGAATTGATTAATGTATCATTTAACAACAACTTACTTAACATTGCTCTTCTTGTGTGGAGTAGGGCCTGAATTAAATATAAATGTCAGGAACCCTGAAACAAACTTGTAATATGGTGTAAGTAGGATCTCATCATTAGAATTTGCTCGCTTGATTTAGCCAAAATATCTCTTGCATGTTTACATGAAAAAATGCATTAAAAATACATGTTGAACTTAAAGAAGAGATTTATATTGTGATTGTTTATTTTCTACAAATTGGCACCTTATTTTATTGCAATCTCACAATGGGATATGATAAGCGTTAGTTTATTGCATGATCTTGTTTATAGAATGCTTTCTTTTATATTTTAATATTCCAAAATTTTGTATTACCTCACCAGTTATTATTGAGTCTGATCTTATTCATAATTTTTAAAATGACATCAATCACATTGTATAATTTGTATATAAAGTTTTGTTTGTAAATTTTAGAATCTAAATTTAGCAGTGAAACTTGAAATACCCAGATTGATTGTTATAGCATTGAACTTATAAAGGGTCAAACTTCTATGAGATTTGTACCCACACAGCTAGCAACCCTTAGATTGTTAGTCTGATGCATTAACCACTAGGCAACATCGCCCCTAGAGAGCCAGGCCATAAGTATCCAGCAAAAGATCTGTTATATTAAGGTTAATTGCTTTGTTTATAAAGTTATAAAAATTTCAATTATCTCCAATTAGATTGGTTGTTCAGTTATTGACAATTTTTATGCATCCGCTTAAAAAGGGGGAAGTATACTGTGATTGGTATGTCATTGGTCCATACATATGTAAATACCTTCTGCTATCATTGTCTTATCACTTACTAGGGTAGTAATCAAACTCAGTTTGTTAAACTTGCTACTGACATTGTGCATGACCAATAGATAAACCTTTTGATTTTGAGGTCAATGGGTCAAACATCAAGGTCACTGTTGCCTTGACCTCTAAAAGCCTGTTCAACTGACAACTAGAGAACACTTTGGCCTTATGTCCTAAGATTTGGGTGTGGTTGATAGTCATGGCTAGTAGATGGACCTTTTGTTTTTGAGGCCAATAGGTCAAAGGACATTAACCACCAGAGGTTTGTTGCACTAATAACTAAAGAACGCTTTGATTATCAAGTCACTAAGTCAAAGGTCATGGTAACTGTGTTTTAACCAAAGTCACTAAGTCAAAGGTCATGGTAACTGTGTTTTAACCAAAGTCACTAAGTCAAAGGTCGTGGTAACTGTGTTTTAACCAAAGTCATAAGTCAAAGGTCGTGGTAACTGTGTTTTAACCAAAGTCACTAAGTCAAAGGTCGTGGTAACTGTGTTTTAACCAAAGTCACTAAGTCAAAGGTCATGGTAACTGTGTTTTAACCAAAGTCATAAGTCAAAGGTCGTGGTAACTGTGTTTTAACCAAAGTCACTAAGTCAAAGGTCGTGGTAACTGTGTTTTAACCATTAAAAGCTTATCAGACTTCACAGTGGCACTTAGTGTAAATTCCTTGACTTTTCAATAAATCGAGAACAACGAAGGCTAAATTTGTTAAACTCAAAAGGTACATTGCCCATGGACAATTGTTTTCCCCTATAGATTTTAAGATTGGGTCATAAGACAAGGTCATGTGGTGAATGTATAAAATTCCTTTTCTGGTCAAGATCTTTAGTAATTAGCCTAAGTTAATGGACATTGAACATGGCCTAAAGGAAATCCCCTATTGATTTTAGGACATCTTTTCAAGGTCACATAGTGACACCAGTGAAATACTAATAATCAAGAAAAAAATTTCCTAGTCATAGATTTGTGAAACTTGTTAGTTTTTTTATGTTTATTATATATTTATTGCCTATTCTTATAACTGTTTTTTTTTATGAAATATACATGCATTAAAGTATGTAAA